AAAAAAAAAAAAAAAAAAAAAGATAGCCAGCGACCTGATAAAGTACCAATAGTATAGGTTGTGGCTATAGGCCCCACTAGGCTCTGTTAATGGCCAGAACGAATGTATATAGTCGAATAGATGGCCAGATTCGTGCTAACATAGCACTAAAATTCCGCCAACACCAACGAGGCCTAGTCCTATATCTGGTGCAAACGGATAGTAGATGTCTATACCGCCGACACGTGGCCAGTAAAACCCCTCTCCTCTACCGCGCCCCCCCCCCCCCCCCCCCCCCCCCCCCCCCCCCCCCGATTGTCGGCCAATTGGTGGATTATACCTAATGATGGATCAGGCAATCCATCCATGGATGACCTCATCAGGTAGGTATCTGAACAGGTCATCCAGGGAAAGTCTTTGAGACTAGTTGATTGGGACCTTACACTATAGACAACATACCAAATTTCGGGACTAAATAGTCGGTCGGCATAAAAATCACGAATCATCATACATAGATTAGTTAAAGTCAATTAAATATAGATCATTTATCTTTTTTTTTTTTCTTTTTTTTTTTAAAGGTCATTTTGACTCATTTATCTTGAAGACCATTCGATTTTTTTTTTTTCCCGGATGATTGTCGTGGAATGGAACATCATCCGATCGCACTTGTTATCGGTGAATTACCTGCTGCTACTGATCTGGTGGATTAACTTGTGATCATCAGGGCTATATCCATGAATGAATGACCTGATTAGGTATATCCTCCGATCAGGTAATTGGGACCTTACACCACACACACCACATACCAAATTTCAGGATTAAATTGAAGGCCATGTCACGAATCATCAGGGGATGACCTGCAGCCAATCAAATTGTTGGTCATTTGTCTTGAAGATCATCATTAGACTGTGTTCCCCAATGGCAATGGTTGTCATGGAACATCTTATCAAAGTTGGAGATCCGATCGGACACCTAATCATCATCATCATCATCATCAAGATCTTCAAGACAAATGTATCCGATCGCCAATCAAAATTGCCAATTAAACTCCTGATCAGGCAATAGAATCTATCTATGGATCCATGCATCAGATCACTTTCCTAATCAGGTAAGGTAATTCATGAATCAGACCCGCTAACTTAAAAGGCAATACGTGGATTATACCCAAACGAGTAACCTGGCAAGTTTTACATCCACGAGGGGGAAAAAAAGAAAAAAGAGCTTGAAACAAAACAGCATAGCATGGACGTAGACCAGGCGCCCCCTCCCGGGGGGGAGGGGGGGGGGAAGGGGGGCATGGGGAGGGGGGAGGGGAATCGCACGGGTTGCCAAACACGCTTGTTACGAATGGGATCACATCACAAGACTCGGCAAACACGC